TTAATTAAATCTGTTCACTGGTCTCTTGCTGTCTGTGCACCTACATTCTGGTGACTACAGGGGGTGCCTGAACGAATGGAAGCCCCACCCCCGCCCCCAAAGGGTTCTAGTTCGCATGAGCACAGATCTCCTCGAAATTTCAATTGACAGTTTCCACTAAAAACCAAATGTCCACAGCCAACCCTGAACGGGGGCTGTGGAGCTGGATAGGCAAGGAAATAGGCCAAAAATTAAATCCTGAGTTACATCACAACACATCTTGAAATTTCTCAGGAAATAGAATGAAAAGTGAAGTCCATATCTCCTGATCACATCGACCTGGAGGCAATGAGAAAGCATAAAAAAATACCAAAATACACACCTATCTCAATATTAAGGCCAGATAACTCCAGAATATGCCCCCAAAACAGAAATAGATGACTGTATTAGCACATCTCCAGAAATGACATAGAGTGACTGAGAGAAATGTGCTGGAAGTAGACCTATACTCCATACTAGAAGATGGGCAGAAGCTATGAAATTCCTGAGAAGAAATTCAGAAAAATGACTATAAATTTATCAAAACACTATAATACAATGGAGTTGAGAAAAATAAGGAAGTAGTCAGGAAAGTGCTACAGGAACAATCAAATAAGATAGACACAACACTGGAAACAATTCAAAACCTACAGGAAGAGGTCCAGATGATTAATAATAGATTATCAGAAATGGTCAATACATTGAAAGGGCAAATGAGTAGAACTGAAGAGATAGAAGCAAAAACTAGTGAGCTAGAAGATAAATCTCTCAACACTACTAAGACAAAAAAGCAAACAGAAAAAAGGTTAAAAAAAATCTGAAGAAAGCCTAAGATTCATGTTGGACAACATGAATAGGAATAATTTAATAATTATCAGCATTCCGGAACAGGAAGAATCAGACAAATCCACAGAGGAGATAGTTGAAGAGCTTCTGGAAGAAAATTTCCCTAACATCCTGAACAGCGAAAAGATAAGCATTCAAGAAGCTCAACACACACCAGGAAGGATAGATCCTAAAAGACAATCACCAAGACATATAATAATCAAGCTCTCCAAATTCAAAGATAAGGACAGAATCCTGAAAGCAGCTAGGGAAAAGAGAAATGTAACATACATAGGCAAGCAATCAGATTAAGCTCGACTCTCTCAAAAGAAACCATGCAGGCAAGTAGGTAATGGGGAGACATATAAAAAATCCTGAAAGATAAAAACTGTGGACCAAGAATCTTCTACCTAGCAAAGCTGTCAATCAGATACGATGGTATAATCAAAACATTCCAAGATAAACAGAAGCTAAGGGATTTTGCCAAAGCCAACCCTGCAATGAAAAACATCATAAAGGAAGTTCTGTGGACTGAAAACCAACAAGAGACAACAAACAGAGAATGACATACATGTCAGAATCACCCTGAATTCAGCTGACAAATGGAAGAGTCAAGAACAGAATAAAATTATAAGAACACAGGATCTGGGAGGTTAGTTTATGATCAAAACAATTACAATGTGAAAGAAGGTAAACACAGAGGAAAAGAGATCCAGGTGGTGAGAAGATCAGGTAGATTACAGGATAAAATAGACTGTCTTAAATGGAGGGAAGAGTTAATGGAATATAAGGTAACCGCAACAGTGGGGTGGGGGTGGGGGGGTATAGTTCGGGTGCTGGGGAGGGCAATACAACAAGGGGGAGGAGGTGGAAGAACAAGACAGATAGGAGAACACTGAGACAGGTTTGCATGGC